GTAGTGAGATCTTCATGGAATTTAATGAGAACTTCAAGCAACTTAGTGAGAACATCAACAACATAAAAAAGGACCAGTCTGAAATGAAGTAGCTGAAATAAAGAATAATTTACAGGGAATCAGTAGTAGAGTAGGTGAAGCCAAGAAGCAGACCATCGATTTGGAACATAAGGAAGCAAAAAACACCCAATCAGAACAGCAAAAAGAAAAAAGAATCCAAAAAAGTGAGGATAGTGTTAGGAGCCTCTGGGACTATTTCAAAGCAAAGCAACATTTGCGTCATGGAAGTGCCAGAAGGAAAAGAGCACAAGAAATTGAAAACCTATTTGGCCCTGGCCAGTTTGGCTCAGCGATTAGAGCGTCAGCCTGCAGTCCAGAGAGACCCGGGTTGGTTCCCGCTAAGGGTGCGTACCTCCGTTGCAGTTTGTACCTGACCCTGGTTGGTCGTGCGGGTGGCAGACACTCAGTGTGTCCCTTTCACGTTGATGTTTCTCTCTCTCTGTTCCTCTCTCTCCCTCCCACTCTACCTGAACAACAAATGGAAAAATGTCCTCGGGTGAGGATAAAAAAAATAAAAATAAAAAAAAATAATGACAAACCTTTCCTAACTTGGTGAAGGAAACAGGCATACAAGTCCAGGAAGCATGGTGAGTCCCAAACAAGATGAACCCCAAGAGGCTTGCACCAAGACATATAATAATCAAAATGCAAAGTGTTCAAGACCGAGAATCATAAAAGCAGCAAAAGAAAGGCAGTTATGTACCTACAAGGTACATAAGACTGTCACCTGATTTCTCAAAAAGAAACTTCGCAGGCCAGAAGGGAGTGGCAAGAAATATTCAAAGTGATGAAAAGCAAAGACCTACAACCAAGATTACACTATCCTGCAAAACCATCGTTTACAATCGATGGACATATATAGAGTTTCCCAGATAACAAAAAGCTAAAGGAGTTTATCACCACCAAACCAGTATTATATGAAATATTGAAGGGTCTTCTTGAAGGCGAAGAAGATAAAAAATATGAACAGTAAAATGACAATAAATGTATATCAATCAACAATTCAATCTACCAACCAAATGAACAAGCAGAATAGAAACAGACTTATACATACAGAGAACATTTTGTTGATTGCCAGATGGGAGGGGGGTTGGGAGGGTGGATGAAAAAGGTTAAGGGATTAAGAAGTACAAATTGCTTGTTAGACTGATGAACCTCAAAGGGAAGGGCAGAGGAGTGGGAGAAGAGATAACCCAAATAACTTATAAGCATGTATGTATAACCAGTGGACACAGACAATAGTGTGGGAAACACAGGAGAGGGGTGGGGAGAGGTTAATGGCAAAAATAGGGGACATCTGTAATACATTGAAAAATAAAGGTAAGTTTAAAAAAAATACTTCATTGTTTAAAAAAATGTTAATTGTCACCTGTGCCTTCAGTGAGTTGTAATATTTTTGCCTGTGAAGGGTCTTGCTTTGATGTTGTTGGCAGCTGACTAATCAGAGTGGTGATTGCTAAAGGTTGGGATAACTGGCAATTTCCTAAAATAAGACAATAGAGTTTATTGCATAGATTGACCTTTCCTTTCATGAATGATTTCTCTGTAGCATGCAGTACTGTTTGAGAGCATTTTACCCACAGTAGAACTTTGTGAGGGGATATATTTTCCCTTTTTATTTTTAGATAGAGTGGAAGGGAGGGGAGAGAGAGTGAGACACACATCAATGTGAGAGAGACACATCTATTGGTTGCCTCCCGCACGACCCCAACTGGGGCCAGAAATTGAACCTACAACCCTTTGGTCCTCAAGCCAGTAGAACTTCTTTCTTTCTTTTTTTTTTTATCCTCACCCGAGGACATTTTTTGTTCAGGTAGAGTGGGAGGGAGAGAGAGGAAGAGAGAGAGAGAGAGAGAGAAACATCGATGTGAAAGGGACACATTGAGTGGCCGCCACCCGCACGACCGACCAGGGCCGGGGACAAACTGCAACCAAGGTACATGCCCTTAGCGGGAACCGAACCTGGGTCTCTCGGGACCGCAGGCTGATGCTCTAACCGCTGAGCCAAACTGGCCAGGGCAGTAGAACTTCTTTCAAAATTGAAGTCATTCCTTTCAAAATCTTCCAATGCCTTATCAGCTAAATTTATGTCATATTCTAAATCCTTTGTTGTCATTTCAAGTCATTACAGCATCTTCACCAAAGGTAGTTTCCATCTCAGAAATCCACTTTTTTTGCTCATCCATAACAACCTCCTCATCCATTAAGTTTTATCATGAGATTGCAACAATGCAGTCATATCTTCAGGCTCTACTTCTAATTCTGATCTCTTGCTGTTTTTACTACATCCTCTACTGAAGTCTTGAACGCTTGAAAGTCATCCATGAGGACTGGATTCAACTTTTTCCAACCTCCTACTGTAATGTTGATATTTGGACCTGTTCTTATAAATCACAAATATTTTTAATTTCACCTAGAACTGTGAATTCTTTCCAGAAGGTTTTCAATTTACTTTGCCCAAATCCATCAGAGGAATCACTATCTATGGTGGCAGCTATAGTCTTATGAAATGTATTCCTTAAATAATAACTTTTGAAAGTTGAAATTATTTCGTGATCCATTGGCTACAGAATGAATGTTGTGTTACCAGGCATGAAAACAACATCAATCTTATTGTGCATCTCTATCAACTCTTGGGTTACTAGGTACATTGTCAATGAGCAGTAATATTTTAAATGCAATCCTTCTGAGCAGTAGGTCTCAACAGTGGAATTAAAATATTCAGTAAAGGTGGGAGCAGGGAGGAGGGTGTCAATGGGGGAAAAAGAAACATCTGTAACAAAAAATATTTAAAATAAAATACTTCCATTGACATAGGTATTAGGAATACGTATTATTTAACTAGCTTTCTGAGGTTAATATTGAAGAAATTGTTATTTGAAATATTTGCTTAATAAAAATTGTTTACTAATTTGAAAAAAAATTCAGTAAAACTTTTTAATTTTTTTTAATCCTCAACCAAGGACATGTGTAGAGGAGAGCAAGAGAGAGAGAAACATTGATATGAGAGAGAAACATCAATCGGTTGCCTTCTATAAGCTCCCTGACTGGGAATCAAACCTACAACCCAGGTATATGCCCTGACTGGTAATTGAACCAACAACATTTGGTGTACGGGATGTTGCTTAACCAACTGAGCCACTCCTGTCGGGCCAGTAACCAATGTTTTAAACAAACGTGATGTCATCCAGGCTTTGTTGTTTCATTTACAGAGCACAGGCAGAATAGATTTAACATAATTCTTAAGGGCCCTAGAATTTTTGGAATGGTAAATGAGTATTGTCTTCAACTCAGTCACCAGCAGCATTAGCCCCTAACAAGAGTCAGGCTGTCCTTTGAAGCTAGGCATTGACTTCTCTCCAGCTGTAAAAATCCTAGATGGCATGTACTTCCAATATAAGGCTGTTTTACCTCTATTGAAAATCTGTTTAGCATAGCCACCTTCATTAATTCTCTTAGCTAGATCTGGATAATTTGCTGCAGCTTCTACCTCAACACTGCTGCTTCCTTCACCTTGCACTTTTATGTTATGAAGATGGCTTCTTTCCTCAAACCTAATGAACTAACCTCTATTAGCTTCAATCTTCTTTTGTAGCTTCCTCACCTCTTTCAGCCTTCATAGACTTGAAGAGAGTTAGGGCCTTGCTCTGGATAAGGCCATTGTAGCTGGTTTGATCTTCTGTCCAGACCACTAAAACTTTCTCCATATCAGTCATAAGGCTGTTTCACTTTCTAACCATTTGTGTGTTCACTGGAGAAGCATTTTTAATTTCCTTCCAGAACTTTTCCTTTGCATTCACAACTTGTCTAACTGGTACAAAGGGCCTAGTTTTCAGTCTGTCTCAGTTTTTGACATGCTTTCCCTACTGAGCTTAATCATTTTTACTTTTTGATTTTGGATGAGAGATGAGCTACTCTTTCATTTGAACACTTAGAGACCATTGTAGGATTATTAATTGACCTAATTTAATTTTTTTTTTTTTTTTGCATTTATCTTCAGATTGAGCAGGAGGGAGAGAGGCAAGAAGAGAGTGAGAGAGAGAAATATCAGCATGAGAGAGACACATTGAGTGGCTGCCACCCACACAACCCCAACTGGGGCCGGGGACAAACTGCAACCAAGACACGCGCCCTTAGTGGGAACCGAATCTGGGACTCTCTGGTCTGCAGGTCCGACACGCTAACTCCTGAACCAAACTGGCCAGGACTAATTTAAATATTTTTAAAATACTTTTTATTGATTTTTTAGAGAGAGAGGAAGGGAGAGATAGAAACATCGATGTGAGAGAGGTACATTGATTAGCTGCCTCCAGCACGTCTCCAACTGGGGATTGAGCCCGAAACCTAGGCTTGTGCCCTGACTAGGAATTGAACCGGGACCTGTCAGTCCATACAATGTTGTTCAATCCACTGAGTCACACCAGTTGAGCCTAATTTAAATATTGTGTGTCTCAGTGAATAGGGAGGCCTGAGGAGAGGAAGATACGAACAGCAGGTTGGTGGAACAGTCAGAACACATAGAACATTTATCCATTTTATTTGCTATCCTTATATGGGTATAGTTAGTGGCACCCTAAAACAATTAAAAGAGTAACAACAAAGACCAATGATTCCAGACTGAAACAAATAAATATAATAATGAAAACATTTGAAATACTGTGAGAATTACCAAAATATGACACAGATACAGTGTGAGAAAATACTGTTGGAAAAATGGCGCCAATAGACTTGCTTCATTCAGGGTTGTCACAAATCTTTATAAAAAACACAATGTCTATATAGTGCAATGAAATTAGCTGTACCTATACTGTAGTTTGAATGAATGAATGGTCATAGCAATGATCCATGTGGGCATATGTGCTGGTTTTAAAAGGATAAGTATACAATTTCCGCAAGTTTGTTTTCTGACAGCTTTGTGAAATGCATTTTTATGTTTGCAGATGCAATGGTTCAATCATTATAAAAAGTCTCTTGCTACTTATATGAGGTCACTGGGAGAAGATGAAGGTTTGGATATTACACAGGATATGAAACCTCCCAAAAGCCTATATATTGAAGTAAGTATACCTCTTTATTTTTTATTACAATTATTTTTTAATCCTCACATGAGGATATTTTTCCATTTATCTTCAGATAGAGCATGAGGGAGGGAGGGAGGAAGAGAGAGGGAGAAAAACATTGATGTGAGAGTGTCACATTGATTGGTTGCCACCTGCACGACCCCAACCAGGGCTGGGACTGAACTGCAACTGCGACCGTGTTATGTGCCCTTGGCTGGAATTGAACCCAGGACTCTTTGGTCCATGGGCCAGCACTCCAACCTCTGAGCCAAACTGGCCAGGGCAAGTATACCTCTTTAAAATGAATATTTATTTAATGCATAGATAGTGCTGCCTTTGTCTAAGGGGTATATGAAGATATATTATTAAAAAGGAAAGGGAAAAATAAACCAAAACCAAAAATGTTACCTATAGGTGGGACTAGGACTAGGTGATAGGACTAGGATAGAAAAGCTAAAATTTTCTGAATAGACCTGTTTTAATAGTTTTGACTTTGGAACCATGTAAACATTTTATATATTATTAAATCAAAGTGAAAAACCAACTCACAAATTTTGAAAGGAAAATGAAATAAATGAACCTGTTTTTAAATTGGTAGATTAGTCAAAGTAGAATTATTTTAAAATACATAAATTGATTATACATTCCTAATGGGTATATTCTAAGGATGAAAAGAATTACAAATAGATCTTAACCTATTGTAGTTATATTCTTAGTAATAATATTGTTATTGTTATTTTTAAACAGTTTATATATTGAAAAATAGAGCAAAAAGTATGGCACTAGGAATCCAGATTTTCAAAATAAAAGAGATTCAAATATTAAAATGAGAAAGTTAAGTGAAAATTCTATATTCCCAAACTTAAGTCTGAAGTATCAGCATGGAGTCAGATTGAATTATCTTCTATTTATTTATTATTAATTACTTATTTAATTGATTTTTAAAGAGAGAAAGAAACATCAATGTGAGAGAGAAACAGATCAGTTGCCTCTTGCACATGCCCCAACTGGGGATCAAAACTGAAACCTGGGTATGTGCCCTGTCCAGGAATCCAACCTGCCACCTTTTGGTGTATGGGACTGTGCTCCAACGGAGCCACACCAGCCAGGGCCATCTACCAACCCAGTAGCCGGAAGCATCCAAATTCTGGAGTCTAAATGCCATTTTTCACTTAGGAAAACCAGGACTCTTTGGGGGGAAAAATGCTGATTCCTGGTCTTAAATAAACAATATACAAGCTGAGCATGGAACACCTTGTCTTTCTAGAAAGCAAGGAAAGCCCTGGCCTGTTTGACTTAGCAGTTAGAGCGTCGGCCTGTGGACCAGAGAGATACGGGTTTAGTTCCCGCTAAGGGCACTAACCCACTGTACGTTGGTTACAGTTTGTCCCCAGCCCTGATTGGGGTCGTGTGGGTAGCAACCAGTCGATGTGTCTCTCTCACATCAATGTTTCTCTCTCTTCCTCCCTCCCTCCTGCTCTATCTGAAGATAAATGCAAAAATGTCCTCGAGTGAGGATACAAAAAATGTTGAAAAAGTTTCTAAGTACAGAACTACAAAATCCTCTTTCATATACTTTCATTTTAAATTAAAAAAAAAAAAAGCAAGCAAGGAAAGTATCAAGGACTACATGAGTGCTCACAAAAGTTTTGGGAAGTGGTTTGAAGGAGCTCCCACTTGCCAAAGAAAGGACACTTTGAGCATAAAAATGAATGGTAACTGCAGTGAATTAAGTCACATCAAGTATGGTAGAATTGTGAATACATAATGACACCAAACAACAATTACATAATTAAAAAAAAAAAATCTCTGGAGATTTATTATGCTAAGTGAAATAAGCCAGTCAGAAGACAAATACCACATGATCTCACTTATATGTGGATTCTAATGAACAATATAAACTGATGAATAAAATAGAACCGGAGGCATGGAAACATGGAACAGACTGAAGAATCTTAGAGGGAAAAGGGGTGAGGGTGGGGGCCGGGAAGAGATTAACCAAAGAACGTATATGCATATATGCATTACCTATGGACACAGACAATAGGGTGGTGACGGCCTGGGGTGGGGCAGGAACTGGGTGGAGGGGGGCAGTGGGGGAAAAAGGGAGCAGATATGTATAATACTTTCAACAATAAAGATTAAAAAATAAAATAAAACCTCTTTGGGCTCTATATTGGGAGAATATGAGGGATGCAGCTCATTTTGAAAAGCAATACATAGAAGAGTGGAATCAAGCATCCATCTGCCTTTACTATACAAACTCTATCTCAGAGTAGCCAGATTATTTACAAGGAAAATTTCTTCATAGAAGAATTTTTTAAGCTAGTGCAGCAAAAGTAAAAGGACTAGATTAATAACACTTTGTAACCATAACGCATGGAGGCAAATACCTACCAAGACCTTAGGTGACAAGTTAGTGGAGACCTTAATAATGGATGGGTATAGATAACACCCAGACCCTCTGACTATTCTTAATATCTGTAAACAAATTCAAAAGTCATTGGAGTGAATAAAGAGAGACTTTATTCTCAGGGAGACGTAGCCTCTGGCAGAACCAAAGCGATGCTCCACTGAGACAAAGGAGAGGTCATGTTTTGTTTTGTTTTTTTAAATTAATTTTAGAGAGAGAGGAAGGGAGAGGGTAAGACAGAAGCATCGATGTAAGAGATCTGTTGCTTCCCATACAGGATTAGTCCACAACCTAGGTATGTGCCCTGACCTAGAATAGAACCCTGGACCTTTCATTGCACAGGATGATGCTCCAACCAACCAAGCCAAACTGGCCAGAGCAGGAGAGGTCATCTTTTATAGGCAGTTTTCTTGCCCACAGATCCCATTTTGGTCCATTTCGTGTACATGAGGTTTTGAAATTGTACAGTTCTAATTGGTCCACATCATGCAGTTCTGGTTGGTTGGTATAGATGCAAATGAGGATATAATTTGCACAGTTCTAATTGGACAGGGCAGGTCTTAGTTCATTACTCAGAAGATGAAATCAGAGCATTGTTGCAGTGGTTGACTCAGATAGAACAAGTGTGGCATAGTAAATGAAGCAGAGTTCAGTCTGAGACTCTTCTTGGCATACAGGGTATGTGAGGAGAAGTCCCTGTCAGCAAATGGCCATTAGGCTCTTGTTGCAGGGGTGTGCAAAAGTCGGTTTACAGTTGTGAGTACGCAAAACAGTTTATTCTTGTAGAATTATTTATTATTGTATTATTTTCCATACAAACAACTGTAAGCCTACTTTTGCCAACCCTGTATTTAAAATATTTGGGCTCTCTCAATCATGGGGGATCCATCTCAACACATAAATTCCTTTTCAAGGACATCAAATGTATCTTTCTTCTTGGGGTCCACACATTCAAAATGGGGTAGTCAGATATTCTATGCTCTGATTGACCTTGCAAGAGGGCATACATAACACCATTTGCCAGAAAACCAGACCTGATATGATCCAACCTCTAGAGTCTAGACCTAACTTCTAGTGTATAGGAAATCAGGGACAGAGAGGATAAAATGTTAAATGATCTCATAGGAGTCCACAATAAAATCTAGTTTATGGGAAACTATCTGACAAACTGCTCTGTTTCTTTAACAAATTGTCCAGAAGGAGGGAGAGGGTGTGTGGGGGGGAAGGAACCCTATAGATGAAGAAAAAGACATAAGAAATGGGTAATGTGCAGCTTTTGTTGGACTCTAATTTGAACATGGCAACTTTTAAAAAATTTAAGAGTTAAATGGGGAAATTTGGATACTAACTGGATATTTCATGATTTAAAAAGTCTTAATAAGATACTGTAATGGTATTAAGATTATATATTTTTAAATTTTCATTGTGTAGAAATAGATACTAAAATATTTATAGATGAAATTATAGGATTCACTTCAAAATCTAGACGTGGGTGAGGGAACAAGATTGGCCAGATTTTGATAATTTTTATTTTTATTTTCCATAATATGTTTAAAGAAGTAAAAAGGTGTGGGTGGTGCTAGGGAATTTTCTAGAATAGTATTTCTCAAACAAAGTTAAAATACCTGAGGAGTTATAGTAAGATTCCAGAGGCATTATAGGACATGATGAAATTACCTAGGAAAAGTAAATGACTGAAACTTACTGCTGGAGTTGGCTTTATTAATACCAATCCTAGTACTAAGGAAAACAAACTCCCATCCTGAGTTCTCATAGAAGATGAAAAAATATCCTGGTTGGAACTATAGCCAGGTCTGTAACCTTCTCTCCAGGAACATTCCTTCTCTGAGGTTGAAGTGTTTATCAAAAGGCAGTCTTATACCTCACACCTTCTGACTAAGAACCTCTCCTGATTCTTATAACACAAGTCTGCACCTGCTTTTTCATGGTTTACTTGTCAGTATTTTGGGGAAAGAGTCTGACTATAAAAGGAGATTGGAAAAATCTTAAAACAGAAGTTTTGCGGACACCTATGGTTTATTCTCAGATATTTCATGGGAGGGATCTGTGAGTCAGGTTGGAATCAATCTAAAACATTCTCTTTCCTTTGTAGATATGTTTCAACTGCTTGATAGTTCAGGATTTGCAGAGGGGAAAGAATGCAATGATGTCTCTGTCCTTAGCAGCTCCCTGGGTTTCTCTGCTGTCAGCAAAATGTACACATACATTTGGAGATTTTGCCATTCTTCTTCCTCTCCATCAAAACAGGACAGTTGGAACCACTAGCATACTATAGTAGGAGTACTAGGCCTAAGTACACAGAAGAAACAAACCAACAGAAAGCCTAATAGTTTTACTGTCTGGGTATTTATATAATCCTTATTTACTTTGTGGTCATTACATATTAAAAAATAATTTAGATAAAACATCAGTTTTTCCTTTCAGGTACGATGTCTAAAAGACTATGGCGAATTTGAAGTTGATGATGGTACTTCAGTCCTATTAAAAAAAAATAGCCAGGTATTTCTTGTCTTAAGATACTTTAAATCTTACAAGAGTGTTATATGATGGAAATGTTGAAATCAATGGCAAAATAAATGTTACCTTGTGATGATCATTTATATCTAGGCATCATGTTTAGTGTAAGACTACTATTTATAAATATAAAGAAACATTGAGGCAAATGTTGCATATATTAAGAAAAAGTTATTAATTCACTAGAATATTACTTGTATTTAACACTAAGCATTTTCCAGAGAAATTATCACAATGAGCTTTATTCTAGTTAAGCACTGTGAAAATGTTGTATTTAGTTCCTTTGAATTATAATTTAAAAGCTGATAAGCACTCAATTTTAGCTTGTAGTTTACCTTATAAATCCTAATTTTTTAACAAATAAGTAATGACATAAACAAAAAATTTCTACATATATTAACAGATTTTAATAGGGAAAGACTAAAACTGAAGTTGTAACTGAAACCAAATTTCTCCTTACTAAGAATCTCAACATTTATTGTTTCCTTAGAAATCTTCTAGTTCACTTTAGATTAATTTCATATTAGTAAGTTTATTTTTATCCTATTTCAATTTTCTGTAGTCACATTAATACAGGAGAAAAATGACTAAATGAAAGCCATTCTTCCTTTGCCTCCCATCTTGTTATCGGCTTGTTAGTAACTAACGAGCCTATGTCTTTGTTTATGCCATGGAGCAAAGGAATACTTCAGGTTATGTAGTTCTTGGACTTATTTCCTTACAAAAGGGTGACTTGATCTCTTATTTTACAAATACCCTTAGAGCTTTGAGTAGTTTCCTAAAACAAAGGTTGACTATTTTAAAGACTGATTTTCAGGATACACTAAAATTACTTTGTTAAGGCAAAATTTTCTCCCAGTGTCCTCTTAGGATACTAATGAATTGAATAATACTAGTGATTGATATTAATACTTGATAAGTTAATGCTCATAAAAATCTGTATTTCTGGAGGACCCAATATGAAGCTCTGGTTCACAAGAATAAATCAAGAAATGAAAAAAAAATGTCACTTTTCCCTAAATACCATCCTGAGGTTTAATTTTTTCTCAAGCTTTATGGCTGATCTTTCACCCAGTGTGCCTGGTTGGTTGGTGGTGATTCTTCAGTGGCAGGGAGTACCTGGGTTGGCCTGGGGCAAGTGGAAACCCAGCTGAGTCCCTCCTCCATCTGCTCCTGTGTTAGACACTTGTTTTCTGTGTGGACCATGCAGAAGCCTTCCCCTTGGTGATGCTTTGAACTGTGTTTCTCAGTATCACCCTACACTTAATTATAAATATGGGGAAAATTTTTTTTTTTTTATCCTCACCTGAGGACATTTTTCCATTTTTTGTTCAGGTAGAGTGGGAGGGAGAGAGAGGAACAGAGAGAGAGAGAGAAACATCGATGTGAAAGGAACACATCGAGTGGCTGCCACCCGCACAACCGACCAGGGCCGGGGACAAATTGCAACCGAGGTACGCGCCCTTAGCGGGAACCGAACCTGGGTCTCTCAGGACCGCAGGCCGACGCTCTAACCGCTGAGCCAAACCGGCCAGGGCGGGGAAAAATTTTTTTAAACAATCCACTATAGTTGATATTAAGAGGCTTCTAAAAATGCCTGACCACATTTAAAATCAGTTTTTTATGGAATCTGATCATGTCATATAAAACATGAATAATGAGACACTTTCTTACCATATATTAATTTATGCTTATAAATACAGTAATACAGTAAACATGTTTCTGTTTGTCTAGAAGTCAGAAACATCCTCTTTTTAAAAGACATCGTAATAACTGTTAAATAAACAACTCAATATGTTCCCCCCTTTTTTCTTTTGGGGAGGGCCCCTTTTTTTTATGTTAAATATTCTAAAGACTAAGAATTCAGTTAACATGCTAGGTAATAGTCCTTGGCCCATGTGTTTTCATGTTTCGTTTGGAGGCATTTCTTGCATAAGGCCTTTGAATTTGTGAGGGGTAATCTTTAAGTGCACAGTGCTGCTGAAGTTACATTTGCTTCCTTGAATATTTTTGATAATCTCTCCTATGTGATTTTCTAAGGTTATTTGCCCTGTACTTTCTAATTTACTGTTTTTCATTTATATTTATTTATTTATTTTTGTTTTTAAATTTTTTTTTTTTTTTTTTTGTTACAGATGTTTCTCCTTTTTTACCCCATTGGCACCCCCCCCCCCCATTCCCCCATCCCCGGCTTTGTTGTCCATGTCCATTGGTTATGCATACATGCATATAAGTTCTGTGGTTTATCTCTTCCCACCCCCCCCCCCCACTCCCTGTTCTGAGGGATGTCAGTCTGTGCCCTACTTCCATGTTTCTGGGGCTACCATATTCCTCAGATTGTTATGTTCATTATATTCCATATATAAGTGAGATCATGTGGTATTTGTCTTTTTCTGCTTGGCTTATTTCACTTAGGATAATACTTTCCAGGTCCCTCCATGTCATCTCAAAGGATAAGAGATCTTTCTTTCTTACAGCTGCATAGTACTCCATTGTGTATATGTACCACAGCTTTTTTATCCATTCGTCTAATGATGGACACTTGGGCTCTTTCCAGATCTTAGCTATTGTAAATAGTGCTGGTACAAACATGGGGGTACATATATTCTTCCTGATTGGTGTTTCGGGCTTCTTAGGGTATATTCCTAGAAGCGGGATCACTGGGTCAAATGGAAATTCAATTTTTTAATTTGTTGAGGTAACACCATATTGTTTTCCATAGTGGCTGCACCAGTCTGCATTCCCTCTAGCAGTTTACTAGAGTCCCCTTTTCTCCACAGCCTCGCCAACACTTGTTGTTTGATGATTTGTTGATGATGGCCATTCTGACAGGTGTGAGGTGATACCTGTTTTTCATTTTTACCCAAGCATGTCTTTTCTTTGAGATTACTTTGGTCACCCATTAGCTTGGAAAATCTTCCTGCCTTGTTTCCTGTACCTCCTCATCCCCTATGTGTTGAGAGGGCATCACACAAGGAGACACTCCTTGCCACTTCAGAATGAGAAATGGTATCCTCTTAGGACATGGAGGACAAGCATTAGCTGGGCACAACACAGCACAGAGTGTCTTCACCACATAGTGTGTGAACAGCACCTACTTCATAGGTTACAAACACTTTTAATCCTTGAAAAGTACAGGAGAAAAGTTGCCACTTGTTATTAGAATAAATGTGCAGACTCAAATCCTAAAAAAGGTTTAATGGAGATGTTTGTTTGTTGGTCTTCCTAAAGAGTTGTACAACTTGTCATTAGGTGCCCAAAATCTCACCTACGTGGGTTTTCTGTGAATAAATTCAAAATGCAAACACTAAGGAAAATACCTACTAGAACTCAGACATCTTTAACTTAAGCAAACTATGAATTTGTTTATAAAATTCAGAATTCAGTACAGCTCTGCATACTGTCACTTTCAGTAGATGAAAACAGTAGATACAAGTTTAGCTTTTAACTATATAACTCTTGTAATTTGAAATATATAATCAGTTCCTGCTTTTTAATAATGTAAAATGTAATTTAAAATTGTCCAATCATGTTTCTCTCTCCTACCTATTCCACTTAGCACTTTCTACCTCGGTGGAAATGTGAGCAGCTGATTAGACAAGGTGTTCTGGAGCACATCCTATGGTGACCTCATACTGTGGTACGAGACTACCCATCCACACAAACTTCTACACTTCCTTCTCCACCCTCACCCTCACCCCTCTGGTTTTAAAGGTTATAGACACTCTTTAATATAACCAGGAATACTTGGCTGAGAATGTTTTGTTTTCTATTATACAGGATTCCTCCTCTTTTTTTGTAATCTGCATCTACAATTATAATATTCCTAGACTTACAATGTTTGTTTGTTTGTTTGTTTTTTTAATGAAAGTAAATATTTATTATACTTGAATCTTTTAAACATTAAGAGAATAACACTTGGCTGTTCTGGGAGAAAGTAGGTCCCTGTGCATCTTTTGTTGTTTCTGGTAATGTGCATTATGTAAGCCAGGGAGCTGAATTTCTGGAATATGTGTTTCCAGATGACATGGGCAGTTGGAGATGATGGTCTATAAAAGTTTTCACAATAGCCCAGCCGGGCTGGCTCAGTGGACTGAGCGTCATCCCATGGACTGAGAGGTCCCAGTTCGAGTCCTCGTCAGGGCACATGCCTGGGTTTAAGGCTTGATCCCCAGTAGGGGGCATGCAGGAGGCAGCTGATCAATGTTTCACTCTCTTCTTCTCTAAAAAAAATCAATAAAACTATATTTTAAAAAATGTTTTCAGTATATATGATGTTTAATGACAACTGCATGGCTATTTGGGAAGGAAAAAGTAGGGACACAATGAATGTTCCCATTTCTTCTTCTTTTATTTTAATGTAATTCCTTTTTTTTAAAAGTTTGTTTTTTAAAAAAAATTTTGAGAGAAAGAAACATCAATGTGAGAGTGAAACATCATTTGGCTGCCTCCTACACGTCCCCTGCTAGGGATCAAGCCTGCAACTGGCCATGTGCCCTGACAGGGAATCCAACCTGCAACTGTTCTGTGCATGGGATGATGCTCAACCAAGTTAGCCACTCTGGTCAGGGCAAATTTGCCCATTTCCAACAATGGTGGATGGTCTAGCTTATGCCTATCTGTGAGCTTGGAGGTTTAGCACCAGTATTACCACTTTGAAAAGGGAAATAGAAATTTGGGTTAGAAAAGAAATTTTGTACAGTTTTCCCCCAGATTCACATTGACAGAAAAGTCACACGAAGTGTTGGTGAGCTAAAGGAAGGGCAGTTTCTATCATCTGATGAAGTATGAATGGTAGGAGTTGGAGAGGCCGAGTGGTCCTGCCTGATGTTCAGTGACTTTTCTCTACTAGTCCCTGAAAGAGGCATTCAAATGTAAAAGATTAGTTAAGCCTGGTATCTGGTACATACTATACATGCTATTTCATTTTTGTTTAAGGGAGTGTTTCTGGCCAAAATCAAGTCATAGGGAAGCTTTACCTAGAATATGAATCTATATGTTTTCATAATAGACCTACTTAGGTCAGTAGGCTGCCCTTTGCAGATTTGAAAATAATCTGCAAAAAATTTTTTTATTCTTTATTGATTTTAGAGAGAGAGGAAGGGAAAGGGAGAGAGAGAGATAGAAGACATCGATGAGAGAACATCGATTGGCCACCTCCTGTATGTCCCCCACTGGGAATTTGGCCCACAACCTGGGCATGTGCCCTGACTGAGAATTGAACCAGGGACCTCTTGGTGCATGGGTCAAAGTTCAACCACTGAGCCACACTGTTGGGGTGATTATTTTCATTATTGAAAATGATTTCTCCCCATAGTTTTGTTGGCCAGATCATATATTCAGCTAAATTTCTGCTGATAAACAATAAGGAAAATTTCCCTAGTGAATGGTATTGATGACGTTGACATTATAACTCTGGGTCTGTAGTCACTTCCCTTCTTTATATTTACTCCCAGAGCACATGGAAGCATGCACACAGGTGAGCCCTAAAGTCCACATGAATCAGCTATGAAGATATACAGCTATGAAGGCCATTATCATGTTGCCAGCTTGCCATCATTCCTGAACTTAAATGATATGATGTTCTTTTGTGTTTAATTCCCCAAATAAAGTAATAAAATATATCCTTATTTGAAATGAATATATAGTACTTGAAATTTTAGAGGTTTTATCAATTTATATTGACTCTAGAATTGTGGCTAGAATTTTGAAGGCGATGTAAGTGTACTTACAGGTAAAAATATATAATGTAGAAAATGAAAGTCCCCCTTCACCTACTAAAAAACAATGTTCCATATGCTCACTGTGAGCTGGTTACATATGTCAAGTACAGTTCCATTTCTCAGTGGTTTCCCAGTTATTTTCTAGTTTTTGTCTCTAATGTGAATGGAATATTTTTTTCTGTTATCTAACTGGCTTTGGCTGATAACATGTATAAAAGTTCAAATTATGATGCCTTGGCCACATTCTAATATTTATATAAACTCATTTTGTTTCTAAATTGCCTCTGATGTCTAGAACTTTTTGTTTTTTCTTTTTTTGTTAATCCTCACTCAAGGATATTTTTCCATTGATTTTTAAATAGAGTGGGAGAGAGGAAGAGAGCCACATTGATTGGTTGTCTCCCACATGACTCAGATTGGGCAGGGGATCGAACCTGCAACCCAAGTATGTGCCCTTGACCAGGAATCAAACCTGCGACCCTCCGGTCCACAGGCCAATGCTCTAACTGCTGAGCCAAACTGGCCAGGGCTGTTGTGTAGTACTTTTTGTATAGAGGGTTCAGAAAAATGTTGATTGCTGCTGATAAATAGGTAGGTGGCAGCTTATCTTTTTCATGACTTCATTGGAAAGCCACAGTCTCATTTCTCAATCTTTTTATCCCATATTTCTCCAGGGAAAATACCAAAACTTGTGTCCTCCCTCAGTGCAACTTGAAGACTCAAAATAAATTCAGTATCATAATTTAAAATAAAATAATGGTAATTAGCATATATGGTTTTTCCAAGTATGCCTTTGGAATCTGAATTATGATCATACTGTTTCTCACTTAACTCCCTACTGTTATGAATTATATGAATAGAATTCTGTTGTTAAGCTTCTTGCATTTCCTGAGATATACTCTTCTTGGCCTTGGTTTGTTAACCATTTAGTGAACTGTGAAGTCTAATGTTTGACTTGCTGTTATTTTATTGAGGCATTTTGCAACTTTGAAGTTGTTTTTTAGTGCTTAGGAAGAGGAGAATGTATACATTTGTGTATGTAAGTCTATGCTTTTTCAGTGTTGTCAATTATCTGCTCCTATGAAACAAACCACCCCAAACAGTGGCTTTAAACCATACCGTTTTATTAGCTGTCATAATTCTTTGGTTGACTGGATTCCAAGAACTGAGCTTTCCACCAATTCTAGTCTTTGAGTCTTTCCATAGTGCTTTAAGATTTTTCTCATACACACATGTATAGTAAATATACAGATAGAAAGGGATGGGAAGATGCAATAGCTGCAGGATAGTGGTTGCTTCCAGGAAGAAGGGGGAGGATAAAATGTAGCAGAACTTATTTTAGTACATAGTTGATGGGCATAGGAATGTTTCTTATAAAAACTATTTTTCTAGCCCTGGCCAGTTTTGCTCAGCGGTTAGAGCGTCTGCCTGCGTTCCATAAAGACCTGGGTTCAGTTCCCGCTAAGGGCACGTACCTAGATTGCAGATTGCCCTGGCCCTGGTTGGTCGTGCGGGTGGCAGCCACTCAATGTATCTCTTTCACGTCGATGTTTCTCTCTCTCTCCCTCCCAATCTCATCTGAACAAAAAATGGAAAAATGTCCTCGGGTGAAGATAAAAAAAACAATTTTTCTATGGGTTTGAAATATTTCATCTGACATGCTTTAATGAGTCTTTTAAAACATAAGAAACAATGAGTAGGGGAAGAAAACCTGCTAAAATCTTTTCGAATTGACACGATTCTTGTTCTACTACAGGAAAGCATTATTTGGTACAAGGTATATTTGTGGATGTACATGAACAGTATATATACTATCCGGATCATGTTGTGCTATGTGCTATGTACAGGTCTTTACAGCTCTTCCTAAAGGTTAAAATAGTTCATTAGAATTCAAAATGCGTATTCATCTATAAGTTGGCACTTGTTAGACTCTTGTCAGCATTGATACTGGCATGTGTTATTACAACTCAGTTCCAGCCAATGTTTGCCAGTTTGTTCACCAGAAGTCCAGCAATAGGTGGGTAGAGTGCAGGAAAACAGTGCCATGTTTCTTAATTGGAGACCCCTGAAATAAGTGAAGTTACAGCTATTGAATAAATGTTACTGAAAAGCAGTCTCGGCTTTTTCTTACACAGACGGCAACTTTCCTTCTGAATTCTCCATTTCTGTTTTTCTTCCATTCTTTCCCAGCATCAACATTAGCTGGTGAGTCTCCATTAGGGTCTGCCAGCTTATAAATAACACTAATCATGATGGTTTCCATGGCGTAAATGGGGAGCAAGCGTTCTCTTGTTTTTCATAACCGTATTTATCTTCACCAGGTTCATGAAGAATAGAAATGCATACATCACCATTTTTTTCCCAACATTTGGTTGCCAGATTTCTGTAATGAATTTCATTTTAGGAGGCTGGAGGGGATAATCTTTTGGGAAAGTGAATGAGCCTTAAAAACACCACCTTCATAAAGTGTATCTGGAAGACCAATAATAAGGACTTCCCATTGGTAGAGATCATTGTCATCTATTAAACCTGCTGAAAAGCCTTCCACTAGATTTTTGTTGAGTTCTGCCAGCTATCCTCACAGTAGCAGTGCCAACTGTAACTCCGTCATCTTCCCGCCAAGGGCCTGGGCTGCGCTGGGGCTTTCAAAGGCTGAGGCAAACTCTGGAGGCTCCTGGAGCTGGGTGTGCTAAGAAAACCAGGCCCCCACGATGGGGCCGCCTGATGCCAAGGGAGGCTGGCCTGGGCCAGCAGTAGCTGCGCCTCACTGCTGTTGCGGTGCGAGTCCCCTTGGTTCAGTTTTCCTCAACCTCATGCCTGGAAGGGGAGGGTACTCGGGCCACAGCAGCGTGCACTGGGGTTTCACTTGCCTGCTTCCCTCGTTCAGCCCGCCTATTGGCCCCACCGGTGCCTTCCCCTGCCACAGCCTCCTGAAATATTTTATAATTAAAAAACAATTAAACCCTAACCTGGTAGCTCAGTTGGTTGGAGCACTGGTCCTGTACACCAAAAATGTTGCTTCTCTCACATCAATCTCTCTCTCTCTTCTCTCTCTCTCTCTCTCTCTCCCCCTCTCAAACCAATAAACATACCCTTAGATGAGGATAAAAATTGAAAACAGAAGTTAAATCAATGTTTAACAGAAAGTTGGTTGTAGTGACTTCATTTCAGTAGTTTATTCTGATAAACTAAATGACCATAATTTGTGTACTTTGGATATAAAACTATACTTTTTTAAACAATATAATACAATTTCCAGTGTGATGACATTTCAAGGAGGTTAAGATTAAATTTGCAATAAATACCATTATCCCTGAGCACAGACATAAAATAAGCATTGTCTAAACATCTTCCCATGATGCAGCAGTCCCTTAAAATGGGCTTCTCCTCCTTTGTCCTTGATAACACTGGGTGACAGTCATAGGGAGTGAAGCCTTTCTGGAATATTTGTATAGACCCAGCATTGAGAATACTAATGATTTAAACCCAAAGCAGTAACAGTGGAATGGCAGAACTATACAGATCCCTAGTTTTGCATTTTAATCTCCACAGCTAAAGTCAAAAGCACAACATTGAAATTATTTTACTTTACCATTTTCTTTTAGTCATTCTTTGCTGAGAGACCCCATAATCTGTTTCACCAGTAACAGTTGGGAATTTTTACCAGGAAATTATCCCAGACTGCCAATAAAAATGTAGCTTTTCCAACATGTCTTTTCCTCAGTATCTGGGTCATATGTCCAGGGATATATGGCCATAGAAAATTATGGCATCACAGTGGCTTAATTTAAAATATGTTCTTTCACAATGAATTTCAGGAAAACAGTCTATACAGAGAAAGATGCTGAAGTCATCTTACTGATTAGTTTGTTGAGAGCTCTAACCTTTTCTTCCAAGATTTGGTTTTTTTTCTCAGCCCCTCGTTGCTTCTCTTCAGTGACCTGAAGTGCTTTCATCAGGTGAGCATTTTCTACGTAGAGCTCCTTGAGCAGCAAATCAGATTTTGTGTTCTTCTTAAACTAGAGAGAGGAAAAAGCCATACTTTACTCTGAATCTAGTGCAGAAATGTTATGTAACCTCTGTACTCTTCCATCTTTATTCAAACCATGATTTACAGGTTTTTACAGATCTGATACAAACACTGGATATCAACAGTTTTTGTTATCCTGGCATGAGAAAGGAAAGTGAAAATCTGAGGAAATGTGGTAGAGAAAATTTAAGTCAACTTGACCAGAGAATTTACCATGAAATGGAGACATGAAAGACCAAAATCATAGGCCTTAAAAAGGACTATTCAGGATGATGTAAAATAAGGAAATTGTCAAGAGGGCCAAAGTGTGTTATCCAAGTGCCCTTTTATAGCAGCTGTTCCAGTGATTGGGGGTGCTATTGGTAATGCACAGGACAGTCCCACCCAGTGAGCATTCTCCCTTCTAAAATGCCAACCTGGCTTCTTCTGTTGGGTCATTAGGTGTTTGTTACCATACTATATCCTGACTATCCTCACCAGATCCCACCCATCACCATTTCCTTTTCTTCAGAGCACTGCTTATAAGCTGACATAATTTACCTTATCTGTCTGTCTCTGAGAATGTAAGGTCCTTGAGGGTTTATCTCAGGGTTTGCCTAGGACAATGCCTTGATACATAAAACGTACTTGGAATGACTGACTGAATGAACAAATGACAGAATGAATATCTTTCCTGAGGTTATGTGAACACCTCAAAAAATATAAATTCCCAAAAGAAAATAAACACAATGCACAAATATAATATGTGTGTGTGTGTGTGTACACACACACATACAAACATTAAAATCAGTTTTCTACTGATTGCTTTTAATTGTTAATCTTCTGGAAAAAAATTGTACATTTAGATTCTCAAGTGTAGGCAGAGCCCCAGATTCACTGGTTCCAAGTGAACATGGGGTTTTCTTTAGTTCTGTGACAAGACGGTCACTCCCTGAATCAGCTATTTGAACACCATAAAAGGAAAAAAAATTCTGAAAGAGGATATTAGCATGTACTGACAGAAGCCCCTCACTCACCTGCTCTCCCAGCTCACCCACTTTTTCTTGTAAGAGCATTTCCATGTTCTTCAAAATCATTTTCACCTCTTCTACCTGCTCTTCTGTGTCTTTAAGCTGTTTTTTATGTTCTTCCTGCCACAAAAGAAGGTTACACATCAATATTACATTTTAAAAAGAATCATCTCAGGCTTATTTACTTTGAAAATTGGCTAAAATGTGCAAATTTGAGAGTAACTATAGATAATCTTTCATCTGTATAGAGAGTAAGTTAAGAAATGTTCTGCACAAATCACAAAACTGTTGCTTTTCGTATTGCAAGAATTAGCAGACTGCCTTGTCCTAAAAATTTAATCATAAATGACTCCAAAGTTGAGTTTCCTCAAACATGTTACTAAGTATTTCTAAATACAGTGATACCTCGGTTCTCGAACGCCTCGGTTTTCGACCAAATCGGTATTCGACCAGGAGATTCGAGAAACTTTTGTCTCGGAATCCGAACAAATATTTGGAACTCGAACTTCCAAGATGAGCCAAGTTGAGCCGAATGGCGTTCATTCGGCCCAGCGCGCCTTGCTTGCGTCATCAGTGTGAGTGCAGAGAGAGAGTCACGCTTTGTGGAGTCACGCTTTCCTATTGGGTTTCATTGCTTCGGTTCTCGAACAATTCGGTTCTCGACCGTCCTCCTGGAACGAATTATGTTCGAGAACCGAGGTATCACTGTAATTTCTGATTAAATTTATGTTTTGTCAGTAATCTATCATAGTTTGTCATCATCTTTAGCTTAACTTTTTTTTTTGCATAATGCTGAAAGGTTATTCTTTGTTAGAATTTATGCTTTACAAACACTAAATTTTACCCACCTTTCAAGTCTTGCTCTAATGTTTGCCCTCTGGCTCCTGATCTCCACATCCGTCCTGCCCTGGACTTTTCCTCATGAACTGCATTGTTCAGTATCGAGTTGTTTTCTCAGGCTTTTAAAATAAACATGTACACAGGGTGCACATGTTCCACAGACAATTCAAGCACTTTAAATGTGCTAACTCATTGATGCCTCACAATAATGCCTTGAGGTGGTACCACTGGTATCTGAATTTTACAGATGAGGAAACTGGAGCACAGAAAGGTTAAGTAACTGGCCCAAGGTCACTCAGCTGAGAGATGGGGGAGCCATGATCCCAATGTCTGCAGTCCATGCTCTGAGCCAGTGTGTCCTGCTGCCCTTTAAGGCAAGTGACCCTGTTTACACATATCTAGATGCCTAATGTAGTGCCTGGCACACAGCAAGCTCCCCATCTATCCTGTTAGCTTGCTGACCTCTTGTCCCACTGCTCTCTTCCTCCCTCCCTACAATTCTTGCTATTTCTAAACATGCCAAGTACATACCCACCTCAGGGCCATTGTACATGCTGTTCCTGCTGCCTATAGTCCTCTTTCCCCAGGTAACTGGATGGCTTGCTGCCTCAACAACTTCAGGTGTTGGCTCAAGAACCACCTTCTCTAGCTATCCTGTTTAAAATAGCAAAATCTCACACCCCACAGCACTTAATACCATCTGACATGCTATCTGCATTATTCATTTTTTATTATTTCCCTACCATCACTAGAATGCAGGCTCCAGAAAGGCACAGATTTTTTGCCTTGTGTGTCATTTCTGTATCTCCAATACCTAGATCAGTGTGTACCTAAATGAGTAACTTCTGTATTCCTTATGTGCCTTTGGGTGGATTTTTTTTTTTCCATCTGCCTAATGTTTAAGATTTTTTTTTTTTTAATTAGGTGCATCATTTGGAAACTGGGAGTGTTCATGTAAAATCTAGTTTCTGGCTTTTCTTTTAAATCAGGAGAATTAGAACACTGAGGCTACAAAGGTGAGGAGCAGCCCCCATTGCTTCACTTACAGCCTCTCCACCACCTTTCAGGCCCTGTAAGCATTTAGCATGTGGCCCCTAATGTTTAGCCATGGGGCCTACCAGAGACACTGCAGACCCTAAGGACAGACTGCATCTGGGAGAAACTGGCTTCTAGGCTGAAGAGACCTTTAAGATCAGCTCACTCAGTGCTTTCTGAGAGGGTGGGAGACACCTCAGAGAGGCTCATCGCACCTCCCCGGTCCTTCCTCAGCATCTGTTAAGAGTCCTCATTATTCACAGTGAAAATTGGGGTCCCACAGCTTTTATACAACCAGTTATGGAATTAGGATGGCCATCTTCCCCTTGGCACTGGGGCAGTTTTTGGTGAGTGCCCAGTGATCCAATGTCACCCTCCCCATTACCATTAGCTGGAACCATGAGACCCTTGTCCCCACTCACCCACTGTGCTTCCAGTTGCCTCCCTTCCTCCTGGAGGCTGCACTCCATGCGGAGCTGCTGAGCTGCCCACTGCTCCCATCCCAGCTGCTGCAGCTCAGCCATGTGGCCCAGAGACATGCTCTGCTCTGTTTGGTCCTGTAGCTGGTGGATGTCCTCCAAATGCTGGCCAGAAGAGTAAACTCTCAGTCTTAGGTTGGCTCCATGCATCTGTACCAGGGAAAAGAGCACAATAGATTTGCTGTGAGAGCTACAGGGTCACTGTCAGACATGACAGACTGTATTTAAGGACACTCTACAGCTGGAAGGGCAAGTAAGGCATCTTCTCTCCTCTGTGGTCCCTGCATCTGCACACAATGCAGGATTTATAAAGAGCCTAGTCACTGGAATTCTGTCAGGAAAAGATGTGCCTGTGATCCTCAATGACTATGCTGAAACTTCACATTGGATCCATGGGAGGATCATGGTATATTCTGTCTAATTTTATCTTCCAGCATACCTCGCTGGAGTCTGATTATTTACAAACTGTATAACCCATGCAAGCCGGATATATAATAATCCTTTAAGTGCAGAGTTTATGCTTCTGAGAACTCACTGAGGCCAGGGTCACAGAGGGTAATTAACATATAGCAAATGCAGAAGGAAACTTAGGAGCAGGTATGGAAAGAAGCTCCCCAGCCACAGAGGACTGCACAGATCTCATGGAGTTATGCTGAGTCATGACTGAACTGCACATCATGTGCCCAATATTTTTATTAAGCAATCAGAAGTCAGATCCAAACTGTTGAATTTAGTGACTCTGGAGGCTTCCATCCAGAATATACACAATTTCCTTGTCCCTTAAAAGAATTGGCTACATCAGCCCTCCTGAGCCTCTGAGGTTCCATCAAGTGTCACACTTAGTAGGGTATTTGTGATCTTGCTCCCTGGTATATATCATCAGTTTGGCTCAAATGCACTCTTACAAAAATTTTAAAAAGTCACATTTAAGCAAATCTCAAAGTGGCCACATGGTCAGAGAGAAGAGAAAGGTGCCACACAAGGGTGAGAGGCTGCAAACCTCTAGCCCAAATTACTTTCAGCAGTCACTAGGTCACCTCACATCTCTGAGGGGCCATCTCAGCGGCAACATCATTGTAACACAGCTGTTCTCTAGGATAGGAATCATCCCAGAGAGACGCACCTGCACACGAATAGCTTCCAGAGGACAGCTGCTGTGCTCTTTTAGGAGGGAAAGAGAAGGAGGAAGAACCAGTGCTTAATATATATCTCCACCAAAAGTAGCTTCCTCTCGAGTTTCTCACTTCAGATGGTCATTCTACAGCCACCCCAGCAAGAACCCGAGCTCCAACCCCAGCCTTGTGTCTCAGAGTGTCAAAGTGCCCATGCACCCCAATTTCTACTCTGACCTTGCTCCCCACCACCTGATGTACTCTTCCTTTGAATACACTGCCTTGCATTCCTCACTGCCATCTTCAGTAGCCACCTCTTAGAATTCTGGTGCCTGACAGCGACCTTTTCTGCAGGGCTGCCACTATAGGCTCACATGGAAGGCCCTGCAGCCCTACTTTGCAACTATCTACATGGGCAATTAGTCCATAAGCATCCACAAGCTGAATTCTTTTCAGTTCACTGAAATAAGATGCAGATAAAGCTGGTTGAACTCCAGAGCACACAGGCTGCTCTTTCTGCCCCATTGAGAATTGGGTTCTGAGTCTTCCCCTCATTGACAGTTGGGGACTGTGCCATCCCACACTGAACCCTCCCCTTGAATCCAGGCTGGACCAAACGAATGTTGGATTTGGTCACCTTGTTTTTTAAAAACTACTGTGAATTCCCGTGGCCTCACCTGAGCTGCTTCCCTGCTAGTAAATGTCCAACATGCTTGGTTCTATGACCTCCTAGACCTTCCTCCTCAGAACCACCTATGGTGCACCAGTGATTACACTGACTCCCTCCCACGTATCTCCACACCCATCCTCACCACAGCATACCCAGAAATGCCTTAATTACTCTGGATGCCTCTACTTCCCTCCTCTGGACTTTCATCATTGTGGTCTTGGAGGGAACCTTCTAAATCCCAAAGAAGTGGAAACCAGCTCATGTTGCTGTGGGATTGTTTAAGGTACCTTCTGCCTGTAGTGCTGGCTGACTCAGCCTCAAAGGACTCAAACTGGCCAAGGCAATTTCTCAAGGGTCCTTTCAGACTTAAAAACAGAGAGGGGAACCCCCACGTACAGAGGTACCCCTGGGAATGTGCTTGTTTGCAGTGGGAAAGCTGATAGCTTATAGGATGCCAACAGCCCGCCAACAGCCCTGGAGGGTCCCATACCAGGCTGACCCCTGCATAGCCTTGGACATCTTGCCCTCTCACACCAGGCAACCACAGCCAGCCAAGTCCAGCTGTGGGGCCAAAAATCAATAGGGGGAAGCTGGTAAGAGGTTCAGAAGTGGGAGGCACTCAGGTAATACACTCAAGTGAGGTTGGTGCTGGGACTGAGGTCATGTGGGTTAAAGACCCCTTCCACACCATGCTTGGGGTGGCCACTCCCACAGCTCCTCTTTCCTTCCTACAGGCCCCTGGCCTTCCAATTGCACCCTACATCTGAGTCTGCACTGGGCTCTTAGTACTCAGGACACCTCTTACTGTTACACACCTGCCATTTTCTCATCCCTCTTGAGCACCTGGTTCTCCCAGGAAGAAATGGCTACCCACTCTGTGTCCCCGAACCTCACATTGTCAGGAAACCCTGAGGTTCCTGTTTGTCCACAGCTGCAAGCTCCCTGCCTCCCTGTCTTTTTGCACCTTGTGAGCCTGACAAGCGCTGGATAAATGCTGGAGCAGGAGATAGTGTGGGAACCAGCAAGTGTAACACACACACGTGCAATTTTAGGGTTTCACTGTGCATGTAAATATGTGTGAGATGAAGACATGGAGCCTTACTATTGGGGTCTTGACTGGCTGTCTTGGATCTGACACCTCCTCCCCTCCTCAGGGGTTACCCTGAAGTTCTCCCTGGCTCTTGGGTTCTATAAATGGCACCCCAAAGACATGCTTACGGGCATCCTTCTATCTGGAGTAAACTGAGGCACAGTTATTCACATGGCCTGCTCAAGGTCAACCCAACCATGGACTAGCCTTGACTTCAGTCCTGGGCCTGGTAAGTTCTTCACTAGCTGTGCAATCTCAGGACAGCCCGAAAACTTCTCTGGGATGGACTAGTGCCAGCAAGGCTGTCAGCACTCAACTGCATTGACTCTCTTTCCCAGATGGGACCCAGCGTCTCAGGCCATCACATACACCCACCTGGTTTTGACTTTCTTCAAGGGTCTTTCTCAGCCCTGGCCGGTTTGGCTCAGCGGTTAGAGCATCGGCCTGCGGTCCAGAGAGACCCGGGTTCGGTTCCCGCTAAGGGCACGTACCTTGGTTGAGGTTTGTCTCCAGCCCTGGTTGGGTCGTGCGGGTGGTAACCACTCGATGTGTCCCTTTCATGTCGATGTGTCTCTCTCTCTCTCTCCTACCCACTCTATCTGAACTAAATATGGAAAGATGTCCTCAGGTGAGGATAAAAAAAAAGGGTCTCAGTTGTGACCATGACAGTCTCAGGCTCTGACATTCCTGATTTATGTGTTCAAGTACAAGTTCCAGTTTTTTAATTTGGTCACCCTGTTCTTAAAAAAATTAATCTCACAAATATAAGAAATATCTTAGTGGTTTGATACATGTTTAATGCAGAAAATTATAGAAAAGCAAAAATTGCAAAATTTAAATCACCCATGATCCCAGCAGCCCAAGGACCACATCTGACATTGTGCTGTCATTCTTTAGCCCTTCCTCTACACATAGCATTTTTATTGATAAGACTGGTTCAGTGTGATATGCTGTGCTTTCCCCTTTATATCTTAATTATTTCCCCATGACATTAAATATTATTTGAAAACATAGTTTATAACAGCTATCCATAATTTACTGACTTATTCAGTAAATTGTTGATAGATTGAGTCAAGCAGATTCCAATTCTGACTTGCTATTACAAATACCACAGCAATGAAAATACTTCCAGCTAAGTCTTTCCACAGTATGCTGGTAAAATTCCCGTAAGTAGAATCATGAAGTCAGAGGATATTGACATTCTTGAGGCTCTTGATACATATTTTGCCAAACTGTCCTCCAGAAGGTTGTACCAATTTACTCCTTTACCATCAGAATGTAATTCCTTTCTGTCAACTTTTTTACACATTCGGGATTTGCAAAAGCTACTGAAGTCCATATATTTTCCAGGGCTTGCCTATTATGTTCTTTTTTTTTTTTTTTATCCTCACCTGAGGATATTTTTCCATTTTTTGTACAGATAGAGAGGGAGGGAGAGAGAGGAAGGGAGAGAGAGTGAGAAACATCGACGTGAAGGGACACATCGAGTGGCTGCCACCCGCACGACCAACCAGGGCCGGGGACAAACTGCAACCGAAGTACGTGCCCTTAGTGGGAACCGAACCCGGGTCTCTCCGGACCACAGGCCAACGCTCTAACCGCTGAGCCAAACCGGCCAGGCGCCTATTATGTTCTTTACTTCACCTCCAGGGCAGTGCCTACCTCTTGGCACTTTAGGTCTGCTCCTGATGTGTTTTAGGCTGCTTCTCTAATGTGCCTGCTCCTCTCTACCCCACTGCCCCTTGACCACTACTCACCTGCAACTCCCTGAAGTGTACAGCCTCCTCTAATCTGTGTGTTAACAACTGAATGGTGATGCAGTTTTTCTTAATTTGGGCCTGTTGGGTAGAGGCCTCCTCTCCCAGCTGAAGGACCCTGTGGTTGAGCTGAAACAATTCATACTTGCATTTCTGACTCTACAGCAAAAGGGTTGAAACAAGAAAAAGTTATTTTTTTAAACCAGCAGCTCAATTCAGATCATTTCAGTGGTTCTCAACCAGGGATCATTTTTGTTTCCCAGAGGACATTTACAATGCTTTGAGACATTTTTGGAAACCACAGCTGGGAAAGGGGGTGCTGCTACTGACAGCTGGTGGGTTGAGGTACTCAGCACCCTCCAATGCAGACAATATCTAACCCAAATGGCAATAGTGCAAGCATAGGAAATCCTGCTCTACCTCTAGAAAAAAGGAGATATATCTGGACCACCAGAGGAGGTTATATGCCTGAAGATCCAAACCACTGTTGTTTTTCCTTCTCTTCCACGGTTATTTCTAATATTATTTTAAGCAATTTGAAAGAAAACTCCCTTAACTTGAGATATATATAAATCTCTTCAAAATCTCCTCTGATCTGTGTCATTAAATACATAAATGTAGCTTTTAGTAGGGTATAGTTGATTAAATTGTATATTTTGATTTTTCTAAATAACCACCACCCAGCAGATAGTGTATGCTAAACAAATACTCATTGAGTGGATGAGCAAATGCACTATGAGTTGAAACAGCAACTAGGAAGTTGGCCTTACAGTCTTTCACAATGGAAGTAGTTATTGCTAACTACTTTTCATGCATATCTTCTTATAAGAGACATTTTTGCTTATTTGCTTTTTCCCACAATAGTCAATTCTTGAGGCCCTGTGTCAGGAGCAATCCAGTGTTTTCAGAGCGGCATCCTCTGACCCAGTTTCAGCACTCTTGGCAATGCACAGACCTCTCTTTCCCCAATTTGATAAGCACATAATCAAACCTAGCAGTTGTTGAAACTTAAGATTATTAAAGCATAGTGATCCTACACATTTCTCTTTTGACAATTTCTCATTTTCTTCTCTGTATATTGACTGTCACCTCTCCTTTCTTTAGAAACTCAGACCTTAGGATAAACAGGTGTTTCCACATCACAATTTTATGGTGGTTACATGTGATATAAAGCTCTCTTGTGTTTATAACATTTTACTGGAAAAATTAAGTTGTTTTTTTTTTTTTTTCAATTACAGCTTACATTCAATATTTGTATATCATTTATACAGCACAGTGAATAGATGATGATATATTTTACAAGGTATTGTCCCTGATACTTCCAGTACTCACCTGACACCATACGTAGTTATTATATTATTGACTACATTTCCTACACTGTAATTTATATCCCCATGACTATTTTCTAACTATTAATTTTTAATTAATTCCTTCACCTTTTTCACCTGGTCCCCAATTCCCCTCCCTTCTGGTGCCATAGTCTGTTCTCTGTGTCTATGGCTCTTTTTTTTTTTTATTCTCACCTGAGGACACTTTTTCCATTTTTCATTCAGATACAGTGGGAGGGAGAAGAGAGAAAGAGAAACATCAACGTGAAAGGGACACATCTTTCGAGTGGTTGCCACCCACACAACCCAACCAGGTCCAGGGACAAACTGCAACCGAGATACATGCCCTTAGTGCGAACTGAACCCGGGTCTCTCTGGACCGCAGGCTGATGCTTTAACCGCTGAGCCAAACCAGCCAGGGATGTTTGTCTTTTGTTTTTTCATTTATATTGTTCTTTAGATTCTGCATATAAATGAAATATGATATTTGTCTTTCTCTGACTTATTTCACTTAGCATAATACCCTCTAGTTTTAGCCATCCTATTGCAAATTGTAAGATTTAATTTTTTTAAGGCTGAGTAATATTCCATTGTATATATGTAGATGATAGGCACATGCGTTGCTTCCATATCTTTGCTAGTATAAATAATGCTGTAGCTGACCAGTTTGGCTGAGTAGTTAACACATTGGCTCATGGACCAAAGGGTCTAGTATTCAATTCTGGGCAATGCACGTACCTGGGTTGCAGGTTCAATCTCTGGCCTTGGTCCAGGTCATGCGGGAGGCAACCGATTGATGTGTTTCTCCCTCATCGATGTTTTTTTTTTCTCTTTCTCTCCTTTCCTTTCTCTCAAATCAATAAAAACATAAATAAATAAAAACATTTCAATAATGCTGCAATGAATGTAAGGGTGTATATGTTCTTTCAAATTAGTGTTTTGGGGTTCTTTAAATATACACCCAGGAATGAAATCGCTGGGTCATAAAGCAGTTCCATTTTTAATTTTTTGAGTACCCTCCATACTGTTTTGACATTCTGCATCATCACAAGAGTGCATGAGGGTTCCCCTTTCTCCACCTCCTCACCAACACATGTTGTTTGTTGATTCATTTATGATAGACATTCTGACAGGTATGAGGTGATATTTCATTGGGGTTTCAATTTGTATTTCTCTGAAAATTACTGACCTAGGGTATCTTTTTTTTTTTTTTTAATATGGAATGCTTCATGATTTTGCATGCCATCCCTGTAAAGGGGCCATGCTAATCTTCTCTGTATCGTTCCAATTTTAGTATATGTGCTGCCGAAGCGAGCACTAGAGTGTCTTTTCATATGTCTATTGGCCATCTGTATTTACTCTTGGAAAAGTGTCTATTCAAGTTCTCAGCTCACTTTTAAATGCAACTGTGTGTGTGTGTGTTGATTGTATAACTTCTTATCACATGTATCATTGGAAAAATTGTTCTCATTCAGGAGGTTGTCTTTTCATCTTGTTGATGGTTTCCTTTGCTATGGAAAAAACTTTAAATTCAATATAGTCCCATTTGTTTATTTTCTTTTGTTTCCCTTGCCCACGGAGACATATCAGAAAAATAGTTAAGAGAAATGTCAGAGATTTTACTATCTATGTTTTCTTCAAGAAGTATTTTAGTTTTGAGTTTTACATTTAAGCCTATAATCCATTCTGAGTTCATTCTTGCATATGTTGTTAGAACATGGTCTAGTTTCATTTTCCTTTGCCTGTATGTGCCCAATTTTCAGAACACCATTAATTGAATAGATTGCCTTTATCCCACTATACATTCTTGCCTCCTTTATCAAATATTAGTTGACCATATAGATATACGTTTATTTCTGGGCTCTCTATTCTGTTTCATTGATCTACATATCTACTTTTATGCTAGTACCATGCTGTTTTGATTACTGTGACGATGTAGTATAATTTGATATCAGGTAGCGTGACATCTCCAACTTTGGTCTTCTTTCTCAAGATTGCTGTGACTATTCAGAGTCTTTTGTGGTTCCATATATATTTTTTGATTATTTGTTCTATTTCTGTGAAATATGCCATTGTTAGTTTAATAGGAATTGCACTGAATCTACAGATTGCTTTGGGTATTGTGGACATTTTAATGATGTTAACTTTTCCTATCGATGAGCATGGTATATGCTTCCATTTATTTGTATCTTTCTCCATTTCTTTCTTCAGTGTCTTACAAATTTGCAAGCACAGTTCTTTTACCTACTTGGTTAACTATTCATAGGTATTTTTTCTTCATGCAATAATAAATGACACTGTTTTCTTAGTTTTCCTTTCTGATGTTTCATTATTGGTGTATAAAAAAGAAACAGATTTCTGAATATTTATTTTGTATTCTGCTAATTTATTGAATTCATTGATCTGTTCTAGTAGTTTTTTGTGTGGAATCTTTAGGATTCTCTACATACAGTATAGCTTGTAATTTGAAAATAATGAGTTTTACTGCTTACAATCTGGGTGACTTATTTCTTTGGTTTGTTTGTTTTTTAATTACTGTAGCTAGGACTTCCAATACTATCTTGAATAAGAGAGGTGAAAGTGGACATCCCTGTCTTGTTCCTGATCTGAAGGGAAACACTTTTACTTTTTCTCCTTAGAGTATGATGTTATCTGTGGGTTTGTCACATATGGCATTTATTATGTTGAAGTAGCTTCACATTATTTCCAATTTCAGGGAAGTTTTTTATTATAAATGGGTGCTTGTTTTTGTCAAATAAATTTTCTGAATCTATTGATATGATTATATGATTTTAAAAATGTTTTTGTTGATTTTAGAGAGAGAGAGGAAGGGAGAGAGAAACAGTGATGTGAGAGAGAAACACTGGTCGGCTGCCTTCTGCATGTTCCCCACTGGGGATTGAGCTCGCAAGCGGAGCATGAACCCTGACTGGGAATCAAACCAAGACCTCTCAGTCCATGGGATGAGGATCCAATGACCCATACTGGCTGGGCATGATCATATGATTTTTATCATTCATTTGGTGTATGTGGTATTTCATGTTAATTGATTTGCAGATACGGTACCAACCTTGCATCTCAGGTATAAATCCCACTTGATTATAGTGTATATAATCTTTTAAATATACTGTTGAATTCAGTTTGCTAATATTTTGTTGAGGATATTTGTATCTATGTTCATCAAGGATATTGGCCTATAATTTTCTTTCTTTGAAGTGTCTTTATCTTGAATTATTTTGAATAGTTTCAGAAGTATAGGTGTTAGTTCTTCTTGGAATTTTTGTTCTTTTTGGAAAATTCACCTGTAAAGCCATCTGGTTCAGAATTTTTATTTTTGGAGAGTTTTTACTGCTGCTTTGATTTCATTAGTTGTAATTGGTGTGATCAGATATTCTGTTTCATCTTGATGCAGTTTTTATATAATTGTATATTTCTAAGAATTTATGCATTTCTCCCAGATTGACCAATTTTTTGGCACATAATTAATTGTTCATAATATTTTCTTAGAATCTTTTGTATTTCTGTGTTGTTAGTTGTACTCCTCCTCTTTCATTTCTGATTTTATTTAGTGAGTCCTCTCCCTTTTTCTCTTGATGAGTGTGGTTTAAGGTTCATCAATCTGGTTTATCTTCTGAAGAACCAGCTCAGCTCTTGGTTTCATTGATTTTTTGTTTGTTTGTTTATTTTTTAGACTTTAATTCTTTTATTTCAGCTCTGATCTTTATTATTTATTCTGTCTGCTCACCTTAGGCTTCGCTTGTTCTTTTTCTAGTTCTTTTAGATGTAAGGTTAAATTGTAATTTTAATATTTTTATTCCGTCTTGAGGTAGC